ATTAGGGGTTTGATGGGATTATATAAGAGGGAGGTTATGTGATGAGAAGAGAGAAAATAAGAGTGAGTGAAAGCAAGGAAAGAGTAAAAAGAACCAAAAAAGGGTGAATGAAAAATAAAAATAAAAAAACTTAGGAAGCATGAGATAGAAAGTAAATGCTCTAGAATAAAAAAAAATGATGATAAGATCCTCTAGAAAAAAAAAAAAAAAAAGAGAGAATAAAGAGGATAAAAGAAAAGAGAGCAATATAATAAGAAAGAGCTTTCTAAGTAGCAAAATGGTGAAAAAAGAGTGAGTTTGGGGGTGAGAGAAGTGTTTTTGATTTGATATTTATGGTTTGGGGTTGTAGATATATAATTAGGGAAGGGTAGAACATGGAAGTGAATACTTGTATGCATGAATTGTTCTTCTTCTTCTTACTTTTGCAATTAGCTTGTGCATCCCTTTTTCATGAGTGAAAACCATATAGAAATTGAATAAACCTCACTTTAAAAGTCATCTTAGCCTCTTTGACACCTAGCCCATTGGTTTGTGATTTAAGTTGATTGAGAGAGTTCACTAAACACTTAATGAATGTTAAAGAGTTGATTTCCATTGGTTTCTTGCTATTACATTGAAAGTTTAGCTCTAAGGCAATACATGAGTGATGAGTATGGCTATCTCTTTTAAAGTAGAGATCATTGGTGCACTTTAAAACTACTTGGATGGACATTAAGTTGAATGCTTTTGTTGTTACTCTAAGATTTAAGTTCTCATTTTAAAACTTCTTCCCTTGTTTTGTTTTAAAAGTTTACTTGTGGACAAGTAAAGAGCAAGTTTGGGGGAGTTGATATCTCATATTTTTATAGGTTTTTAGTATCCTATTTTTGTTCATTTGATCATTTAGATTGCATATTATATGTATATAGTGCATACATTTGTTCATTTGCATAAAACAGGGTTTAAAATGCATATTTGGAAGTTTGAGGTGAAATTGCAAGGTTATCTATGCAATTATGGAAGTTTTGGGTCAGAAACGAAAGGCCA